TACAGGTGACGGATACGGACCAGCACGTCCACGACGTAGGCAATGCTGTGTGGTTGATACTATAGTTGAGTGGGTTGCTGGATACCATGATGGAATCCATAGCTAACTTAATTTTAATAATTCATGTAATCTTGCCTGGATATCTTCTTATCTGTTATCTAACAGGCTGGTGCCTAATTGGCCTGTCCCTGCTGCGGTAAAGATCTATCTGGTGGTATGTACGCTGTCTGATGTGCCCAGGAGCAGGTGCCCAGCTGCAAGCGCTCCCAGGCCATGGGCAGTCCTGGGGAGGATGCAGAGGTGGGCCAGAGGATGTGGCCTCCTTGACATCCACCGCATTTCAGCTCTAGCCTGTTGCTTTTGTTTTCTGATGCCACAGGTCCTCCGTGAAGATTCTGAATTGTTCTGCTATTGCCAAACTCCGTGGCTGTATACTGTGCCTGATTCGCTAACCCAGCAGTATCTCTCATGTCCCTTCCCTGGCTGCTGTGGACTGGACTGCATTAGCGTGGGTGGTCAGCTCTGGGCGTGGGAAGCCAGTGGAGGAGGTCTGGGCTGCATCACCTACGGAGGTGAAAGCCAGGACAGGAAAGCTCTAGTCTGGCCTTGTGGGTTCCTGTGGCCCTTGGGGTTCCATGGTCCATGCCCCCATGTTCTGCACAGCCTCTTTTCCACCAACAGCTCCCCGGTGTCCCCCAGGTTCGCTGTTGTTCACAGTGTGAACCTAGACACAGAGAAAGGCTCCATTTCCCTGATGGACCGCAGGACCCTGTGATGATGCCCGGGGACCCCCGCCCCCACATGCAGTGTCTCACGGGCAAGGACCCCGCACAAGCCCGGAGTTTGTGCTGTGTAATCACTGTGGGTTTCCTCTGCAAGTGCTTTCCACCTGCGAAGCCTCGAAGCCTCCTTCTCACCTGCGGATCTGCGTTCCTGCTGTTCCTACTCTGGAGGACAGGAAGCCTGAAGCACAGAGCGCGGATCCCCAAGCTCCGCGCTGTGTGGAGAGGAAGCTGACTTTGGTCAGAGCGGTCTGACTCTGCTTCCATATCTGGGGCACAGCTGATCTTGGGTGAGAGTTTTTGTAGAGGTTGAAGGAAAAGTTTCAGCTTTTCAGGTCTCTGTTTTCCTGAAACTCACAACTGCACAAAGAATTCACAAATATTTATCTAGTGCCACCGCACAATGTCTCCTGGATGAGCGTGACACAAACAGCTCCCACCATTATGGTAAGCCTGTGTTTTTGTAAGCCTGCATTTATGAAATGCTTCTATTCGAGGCTATGAGTGTATTTCTCTTTGGACTCTGTTTCATCTTATTTAAAACAATGCTTTAAAGGTAATTTAAAGAAAAGCATAGCCATTTAGAACATAGATATAACATGGTAAGGAATAATTTTGTAGTTTCAAAGCCCTCAAGATAGAATTTGCATTTTTAAAGTATAATCTTATGACATGCGACTCGCCCTTCAGCCCCTACTGCCTGGCGGAGCATCCGGCTCGGAGGGGACACCCGGTAGGGCCCTGATGGTCCCCTCGGCCCTGCCCGTGGACAGCTCCCCCTCTGCAGGTGCTACCGGCCTTGGGCTGGGGGAGGAATCGAGTCACCAGAAGATGACTCTGACTTCTGGGTTCTCGGTGACTGCCAGGTTCACCTTGGGGTCACGCTACATTTCCACGATCCATGCTATTTTTCCAATCTTTGAGGTTTGTGTGGAAAACAATCCCTTCTGTGGGTTAGAGTTCAACCCCTGAAAGCTTGGTTCCTGCTCCTGGAGTGTGGCATATGCGCCTCCTTACCCCTTCTGCAGGGTGGGAGTTTGGGGTACATAATAAGTTCAGGATGTTGATCTCTCCAGCTTCTTTACATCTAAATAAATCAAATTAATGAAAAGCATTAGTTACTGTGTTTCTAATAAGGCTTACAGCCTTTAAACTGGGATAGGATAAAAAGTCCAATTTATTTCTGTTTTTCCTAGGGCAAAATGTGGCTCTTAATCTTAATTTGCATGGAGGAGTGTGCTTCTCTGCAATTTCAGGATGTCTGACTTTGTCAGTGGTGACCCTGGTTCTTGACCCATCTGATAAGCTCCATGGGCCCACTGTCCTCCCTGGGGTGCAAGTTAATGAAAATAATCATAAGTACAATAAACATAAGGATCACAGTGGATTGCAGAGTGACTGCTCGGGGCCAGATGGCAGGCAGCACGTGGAACTCACCACCAAAGCTCACAGGCACCAAGCTGCTTCTCAGGGCTGGCATTGCAAGGTCCTGGACACCACGTCAGGTCCTGAAGGGCCATTGAGTGTGGGGCCGACATGCAAAATGGCACAGCATCCCTCACACGTGGGTGTGTACTGCTGCACACCAGAAGCAGCCCCAGAGGGGTCTCCCTGTCCCCCAGCCCCCTAACCAAGACCCTCCTCACAGGAAGCAGTCTGTGCACGTCTGCACCAAGCATGCTCCCAGCAAACACTTACATAGGACATTTAGCGGAAGGGACAAAGGGATGTTAGGGCACGACATCACACATGGCGCTTGCAGTGCCACTGATGTGTCTTTCAAAGTCTGACAGCCATGATCCTGGCCCTGAGGCACAGAGGGAGGCTGAGTCCCACCAAGGTGTGAATGCTTGAAAGCCTGCCTGCAAAGCAGTACGGATAAGAGCAGGCGAATCTAAAGGGGCGGTTTGGATGCAGGGCTGGTCAGCCCACAGTGAGCCATGCTTTTAGGCTTTGTCATGACCAAGTCACATTCACCTGGCAGGTGCTTCACACAGCACTGGTATTTATCATCTCAACCTCGAAATGCATTTGTCCTCTCAGTCCACATCAGCTTCTTTTTTGAGATGGGGTCTGGCTATGCAGTTCAGGCTGGCCTTGAGCTCACTTTGTAGCCCAGGCTGTCTGGAACTCACAACGATCCTCCACGTCAGCCCCAGTGCTGGGATTACAGGCGTGAGCCACCACGCCTAGCAACATCAGCTTCTGTGTCAGGAGTGTTTAAGAAAAATCACGACGACCACCTTTGCTGTGAATAAAGTTTTCATTATCAGTGATTCTGCAGAATCAGCCCTGTCTTTGCCACTGGCGTTTACTTGCTTGGACACAGTGAGCTTCCTGCCCTCTGTGAACACCAGGAGAGCCATGCACGCTTGGGATCCCCTGGTGCCTGGGGAGTCATCGCACAGATTGCACTTGAATTAAAAATAGACTCATTCTCCCTGAGGAAATCATTTTCTAGCACTCCATGTACAAGGAGATGAAATTGTCTTTCATTTGTATGAAATTTTCCCCCAAAGACAGCTTGGTTTCCACAGCCAGTGTTATAATTATTCTCTCGTTTCGATTTCACACTATCAGAGAAGCTGAGCTGCATTTCCCAGCGATTACTAATTATTTGATGAAGATGTGAGTGAAGGCCGTCCCCCTCCCTGCCCTGTTCGCCTCCTACCGCCTCTGTGTGTTTTTGTTTTGTCTAGTTTCCAGTTTCGGATTCGGTGTGTACAGTATTTACTTATGAACATCTGTGAGCTCAACATCACTATGAACATTTACTTATGAACATCTGTGAGCCCCTAACATCACTGCCTTCCACTCCGAAAGGCGACTGTAACGCGGGCCGGATCGCAGCAAGCAGAGCCTCGGCAGGCAGCAGCAGCGGCAGAGGCAGCTGTGTGCTGGGGCAGCTCCCTTCTCTGCATTACCAAACCCCTCCAAATACTCCGCGTCTGTACCGCACCCCGCTCCGAAACTGCGGACACATGAGGGACACCTGGCTTCACATTCTGGACGAAATGCAAACCAGATGGGCTGTGCTGAAGACATGGTGCTTGACTCTTGGGCTGAAATGGGAGTTGGTTTTTTAATGACATCTAAAAACACACACTTAAAAGGCAGCTCGTGTCAGTCAGATAGTCAGATATCGGGCCGCTCAGGGACTGCTCTCCCCTAAGACGCTGCCCTGCCGAGCACTGGCCTCTTGTGCCGCAAGAAAACCTAGCTTCTGTTGAGACATGCTATCTTGAAGAGCAAAAATTTAGGACTCCACCATTGCTTTAGCATAGAAATTCATGTCACCAAGTCATGCAAACAGAGGCGAAATTTTAATTTTGGTTCTTTTAAATTAATTCTATGATTAGGTGTCTCAGTTTAGTCTTGGAAAAATATTTTCTATATTGGTTAGAAACAATGCAGAATCAATTCACTGAAGAGAAGAAACTAACACCTCCTAAGCACCAATGCAAGAGTGAGCTGATTTTTCTCTCTTAAACTTTCTAAAATCTCTGCCAGGTCGCTCAGCATTGTCCTCATGTCACATACCGTAACACGTAAGCTCGGAGAAGCTGAGACCCTGCTCAAGGCCACACAGGAAGTCAGTGACCGCAGGGCGGTCCCTCGAATCCAAGTCTGACAGCTCCCGGAGCTGAGAGCAGGCCCGGTTCACTGCTTTCATCCACTAGCTCAAGTCGCCCTTCCTTAGCCCCGCCCCATCACTTGTCCAGAACACAGACCTCAGCCAGTGACACAGAATCCTTGCCTGCCTGGTTTTCACTGGTCATGAGAGCTTTGCTAATGTTTTTATTTGACTTTTCTTGCAGGGCTCAAACTTTAAGTGTATACAGTTACCAAAATTTTTTTTAAACCTACAAATACGCATGAATAGGAATTTCTTTGCTTTAAAAAAATTTAGGTTTACAAAGGAGGCCAACACCCAACCATTGCATATGTATTATTTTGGTCCTTTGCTGTTGGAAACAGATTGAGATCTTTGGCTAAGTGGGATCCTCAGGCAAGACGATTCCACTCAGTGCCACCGTTTCCAAGTGAGGCTCAGGTCTCCTAGGCCAATGTGAAGCTTGAGGCTTTCTGTTTCCCACACCCTTGCTGAATTCTCCCTGTCCTAGCCAAGTGCCCTCTAGCCTTCTTTCCAGCGTTCCCTAACAAGGACACTCTCACTACCTTTTGTGAAAGAGCTGCTCCCTCCCCTCCTCCCCTCCCGGTGCCCTCCCTCCGCTTCTGCAGTCAGGGATGAAACCCAGATCTCGTGTGCGCTAAGCAAGTGCTTGGCCGCCGACCTGCACCCCCGCCTGTATCCCATTGCTGTCTATTTCCACTAATCAGGTAAGTTTTCTATTAACTTGATAATGGATGTGGAGTTACATATCTTAGCCACATAGAACACATTTACTTTCCATTTTGTGTGACAGTCAATCAAATTAAGCCCATGCAAAGCAGCCTTCTATTCTGCACAGCAGCCCTTCAAATTTGGTACCTATTTTAAAACAGTTACCTTGATCTCCTGTCTCCTCTCTTCACCCGTCCTTTGAGTTTCTCACCTGAAACAATGATGTAGAACTAAGCCCCAAGACCTTAATAAAAAATTTAGTTCTACCAGTGACTGATAAGCCAATTCTAAACACCCTCCCTTTGTTCTCCTCTAGTTAGGATGTTTCTGAAAATCAACTGTGGCTCACAGTGGCTTAGTTGGAAGTCATTCTACTTTGGTGCTGGGGATTGAACCCAGGGCCTCACTGAGCTGTACCTCAGCCTGTGTTTCCCCCTTGAAAGAGGACTCCGATGTCACTAACTGCACAGACTGAACTAGAAATTGCGATTCTCCTGCCTCAGCCTCCCAGTGCTGGAGTTTCAGGCCTGTGCATCACTACGCCCATGAGCATAGGCCACATTTTAATTATGGCTGGAACTGAGTTTACTCCCAGTTGAAACCTGTGCTTTTTCACCTGTGTTGTGTTTTGATTCATTTTCAGCATTCTTTGGAGGCTCTGTACACCTAACTTTCCTTCTTTTATAAATTCTCTGTCTTTTCTCTCTACTTGCATTCAAATTATAGTTATTGTTAGTGTTCTGGATTTTATTGATGTAAGCTTATTTGTAATTATGAAATTATTTTTCATGTTTCAGGTCCTCTATATTTGTGTTGTGCTATATTCTGAATATTTTATTCAGATCTATATACAGTACTTCTCATTAAGATTTATTTTTGAGCTAAGTATAAGTTTTAGATTTCTAGGACTTTGTTACAGCTGACTAAAGTTTACATATGTTTTTACAATTGACTCTAATAATTCCATTCCTGAAAACTTGTGCAAGGGCATAAATAATTGTACATAAATTATATATTAATAGTTATTTCAGAATTATATGTAAACTTGAATTTCAAGTTTCATATGAAGAAAGAGAGAGAAACATTCAAGAGATGTTAAATGAGGGCAAATCGTTAAACGGGGCCTACAGCTTGATCTGTTTACATAACCTTTAGGCCCTGTATATAACAGTTCCGCATGTGTATGAGAATATATCCATGTGTAAACTACTGCTAATAAAGAATGTCTAAAAAGCCGGCAAGAAGCCCTGAGGCCTGCTTATATTTGAAGAATATAATTTGTAGGCATCCAGGAAGTGGCAGGAAAGACTTCATGCTTTTTACCTTATAAGCTTCTGTTCTGTAATTTTTCTAAAATCATTTCGCATAAGCACAGTTATAGCACCCGCCCCACCACCTCCGCCTGCTTCCTGTGGTGCCCAGGGTCGGTGCCTGCACGCAGCACTGGAACTCGTGCATGGACCGAGTCTGCTCTGCCCAGGACTGGGACAGTGGCTCTGCAGGGTCCCTGAGGTCATGGTGATCACCAGGCTCAGAAACCGCCTCTGGAGCTCTTTCCACTGCCCGCCCTGGTGCAAAAGAAAATGATCGAATCCTAAAGAACTCCTGCCTTGTCCACGAAACATGCCAAGTCCTGGCAAACATATATTTCTTCCTTTAAAATATTAAAATATGAAAATATTGAAATGTCTATCAGAGAGTCTCTGTTCCTCTTTGCTGTCCTGGTGGAGTGACAGGCTTTACTGCAGGGTCCATTCCTGGGTCATTTCCCAGGGCTTTCGGCTTCTCTCCGCTCGGTGTAGCCTCTCGGTCCTCCCGACGCTCACACACCTGAAGTCTGTGACCAGGGAGAGGGGACCTCGGGCTCAGGTGTGATGCTCGGTGAGGGGCTGAGCCCACATCGCGGTCCAGACGTGTTCCCCACGCCCCCCTCCTCGGGAGAGCAGCACAGGCAGAGTTCAAAGCCGAGGAGAAGTAACACCGCCTGCCAGGAGGCGGCTGCGCGGCTGTTAGAGAGGATTCCCCCCAGCTCCGTGGCTTCTGGGCAGTTCTGAGTGTGGCAGAGGCGAGGGAGCGGACAGCGCTTTGTCCACCTCCGCCTGTGCGTCCTTTCCTGAGCTCTCGGCTGCAGGACTCCGCAGCAGACCCGAAAAGCAGGCCGCAAGCTCAGGCCTCCCATGTCTTTCTGCTCACTCCGGGGGTGAAGCGGGGTCACGGTCACAGTCCCGCGTTTTGCTTTTCTCTGTCCCTCCGCACGGTGCACGCTGTCGGCTGGAAGCTGCACGCCCTGTGTTCCCATAGCTTGTCCCGCTGGGCCGGCTTCTGCTCCTTCTCCGCATTCCATCAGAATTAATCTCTGACCTTCCTGAGGCCTGACTGCCCTGGAAAGGCTGGGGAAGAGCTTCGTGAGGCTTGCAGGGGTGTCACAGGCTGCCTGTGCCCCTGGGGTGCAGAGTCTGCATGCTGTAGAAGTGTGGTTTCATTCACTTCATTTGGGTGCAGATACGTGTGTGTGCATATAAACACAGAATCCACCAGAAAATGTGTACATCAGGAAAAAAACTGTACAAATATTTTAATACCCGATGTCTGGAGACACCACGAGATGAATACAAGTTGTCTTTGGCCTCTGCAATTACAAGGGGCGCTCCTGGCGGTGGCCATCCACCCCCAGACACAGGTGACTGCCGGAACTGCTGACCTGCACTTATTTGGTGGACTCTGTACACAGTGTAGCTCAGTTCAGGGATTTGATTCTCTTCACAATTCTGGTCACCAATTGAACTGGACAAGAACTGAATCATGATTTTTCCATACAGTCAGCATTTACTCTAACCATTGAATTTGATTTGGTTCTAATCCAACTTGGTTTGTGTGACCAGACTCATAGAAAAAATTGTGAACTGAGGATGCAGTACATAGGTGCATCATTTCTTAGGACATGGCAACTCTAATATCACTTCATAACTTTGGGGGAGGCACAAACTGTTCAGAATACATGGAAATATAAGATAGAAGGGATCCTTAATAAAATTGACCCTGTTAATGTATGCACTATTTTTCTCGTAGTTACTAGGTCCTATTAACAATGAATTAGGTTTCAGAAACAAAAAGAAAATCACATGACTTGTGAATCAAGTAAATTTAAGGTCCTATTTATTTATCTTTGGTGCCAGGGAGGGAACTCACCACCTTGTGTTTGCCAGGCAGGTGCTGTGCTGCTGAACTATGTCCCTGGCCTGGAGGCATCTTCAAATTGACCCAGTCAATGTGACTGATGGAAACCAAACTCACTTACATTTTACAAATTAAAATTAAAATTAATCAATACTTGCTAGAAGAGATCAGTTTCTTTTTCAGTTAAACTAAACAGCAAACAATTACAATTGTTAATCTGGCTGCATACCTGGTTTGATGTATATAACTAATACCAGCATTTCTTGCTTATAAATTTACAAGTCTATAAAACAATACATCTGTGTTCAGAATTTATGAAATGCTGCTTAAATACTTTATGTGAATTCTTTCATTATATCCTTGTTATCACCCAAAATTACCGGATTTACTATGTGTTTGCTCCATTTTGCAGATGGAAAAAGAACATGCCCGAGCTCACCCAGCTACTCCGTGAGGAATGGGCCCCTTCAGTGGGGTCCCAGCTTCACGGGGTTCTGAGGCTGGGTGACCCTGAGCCGAGTCCAACCTGCACCTCTGGTAAATCCACACAAGACGAAGTCTTTTCCATTCCAAACCCTGTATTTTATGTGGATTTCCCCCAAAGAAAGTCCTTGCATAACAGCAATCCAGGAGAGGTCCTGAGGGCCACAGGTCAACAGTTAACTGAGGAGACTTTCCGAGAGGCTGTGAGGAGTCTGGTTCTAATTAGTAGCTCGTGGGGGAAGAGCACTAAACACAAACAGGCACTCAAGATTAAATAAGACAAGAAAAGGCTGTTCTAGCCAATGGAAAGCTTTTAAATATTGTCCCAAGTAAATCGCTGCATACCTAACAATTTTCCCCTCCTGTTTATTACAGGATATTGCCAAAGTTTGCCTATCTAGTACAGGGCCGGAGGTTTTGCAATTCCCCTTCGATCTGCAGGCCGTCTTGTCAGATTTTCTTGTGAGTCATCAGTTCTTCCAGACATCACACAGTGGAGTCAATTAGAACGGAGCTAATGGGTAATATTTCCCCCCTCTGCTGAATTAAATCATTCCACGTGAGGAGCTTGCAGCTTGGTTGTGGGGTATCTTCAGAAAGGGGAGGGCTCAGAGTGCAAGGCCAAGAAGCTGCTGAACTGCTTTGGATGAAACAGGGATTCTCTTTCTGAAACTAATAGATGTCACTTTAAAATGCTGAACATGGCAGCCTTGGGGAAAAGAATCCCTGTGTTTCCAAGGCTCCGCGAACCGTGCCTGCCCAGAACATAAGTGACACTGGGGAGGCAGGGTCACCCTGAGCATCACTTCCCCCCTAAATATTCAACCACGTTATTCTTTCATTATCGAATGTTAGTGGCGCCTGTGGCATGCATTTGGAAGTCGCGCTCTTGTGCAGTGTGTGTTTACGGTACACACCCACGTCAAACAGCTCCGGCACCTCCTTCAAGCCCCTCCCTGCGGCCACTGCTTTAGTTCAGGAGGCTCAGGAACCAGGAGGGGCTCCCCACTGTGCTTCTCATCCACACCCTGCACTGCCCACTACCTTCGGGAGCCCCGCTGTGAAGGCCACCGTGTCACAGGTACCATGCACCAGGAGCTGTGCAGTGAAATAAGGCCACACGCACGCTTTTCCTTCTGCTTCCCTCATAGTAGCCTCAAGAGCTAGAAATTTCCCCTGTGAGGAGCCTGATAAATTGAGGCCATTTACATTCCTGGGTATGATCAATGTGTATTGGCTGATCTTTGTCATGTTATCTTCTGCTGTTGGTTCTCTAATTTTCCTGTCTGTCTAATTGCTTGCCCTGCCTGGTGGTTTCTTTCTGCTGTGGTGCTTG